ACGTAGACAGTTTGCCGAACCACGTAAAATTGGTTGTTTGAGTTTGTGGCCATTGTAATAGTTTTTAGGATCCCTCGACGCGTAGTCCTAGAGTTGACGAGAGGAAGAGCAAATATCCCACTTTGATGTGTTATTAGGCTTTCAGATTCTTGTTCCCTTTGAGAAACAAGAATTCTTATCGATCTTTCTCTCTTATTGTGCATCAGAAACTCTGCCGAAATTTCCGCTGCGCACAACAAGTGGTATCAGAGCCCAGATTCCAGATCTAGGGTTTGGTTGGAGGAGTAGATCAATTTGGAGGCTCGTTTAGGGCTTCGTTGGTGATAAAGGTTGCGCTGAACGCGCAGAATTTGGAGGATACATTGGAGTTAGATGGCAAGCCAGATGAGATTGAAGAGAAGGTTTGGAAGAAGATGAATCGAACGGCGTGTGGTGTGATTAGGTCTTGTTTGACTCAAGATCTAAAATATGATGTGATGAATGAGACTTCTGCGAAGAAGATTTGGGAGATTCTCGAAAGCAAGTATTTGACCAAGAGTGTGGAAAATCGCTTGCATTTGAAGAGGAGACTTTATCGTTTCCAGTTGAAGAAGGGAACCTCCATTAGAGATCACATGAACCACTACACAAAGCTTCTTGCGGATTTGGCGAATGTGGATGTCAAGATTGAAGATGAGGACAAGGCGTTGCTGTTGTTGAGTTCCTTGCCCGACGAGGAATATGAGACCTTCGTTCTTACTCTGATTAATGGGAAGGCATCACTTTCGTATAGTGAGGTCACCGCTGCACTTGTGAATTATCAGCTTCGAAAGAAGGATAAGGAGGCTTCGGTTGAGCCGGTAGCGGAGGCGTTGGTCGCAAGAGGGAAGGGTCCAAACCGAAAGAATTGGAAGTCACAGTCTAGAGTAGGAAAAGATCAGTGTGCTTGGTGCAAGGAGACTGGTCATTGGAAGAAAGACTGCCCAAAGCTCGACGAATGGATGAAGAATAAGCAGAAGGGAAAAGGGAAGCAACCATCATCAGAAGCAAACATCGTATCGGATGGTAATAATTCTGACTCTTCTATTTATTCGCTTTCTATCAGTCCTACAGATAGCTATTCGGAGGAATCTGAATGGATGTTGGATAGTGGTGCGACCTATCATGTGTGCCCTAGAAGGGAATGGTTCTCCAGTTTTGAGAAGCTGGTGGATAGTGGTGTGGTGTACATGGCTGATAACCGTGCATGCCAGATCCTTGGGATAGGAAGAATTCGCATAAAGATGTTTGACGGGACTGTTAGAGAGTTAAACGATGTGAGATATGTTCCTTCTTTGAGGAAGAACTTGATCTCAATTGGAGCTTTGGTTGGAGAGGGTCTGAAGGTTCGTGTTGAGGACATGGTTCTCGAGATTGCGAGAGACTCTCGTATTTTGATGAAGGGCGTCAGGAGAAATAACCTGTATTACTTGACTGGAGGTATAGTGGCAGGTGGAGAGCTGACGACTTCTGTTGATTCGACTAGACTGCGGCATTTAGGGCTTGACCATTCCAGTATTGATTCCTCGCATAGATTAAAAGAGGGTGCAAAGACCTGCAGTTTGAAGTCCAGTGAACATGTTGATGTGAGCAAGAAGACCGAGGTGAAGTGTGGCACCTCTATTCACCGTGCTAAGGGTCGTTCTGGAGGAGTTCACGTGGATGTCTGGGGGCCTTCCAAGGGGGCATCATTGGGAGGTAATAGGCGTTTGGTTTCCTTTGTTGGTGGCTGTTCTAGGCGTGTTTGGGTTGCAACCAAATCCCCATTGGAGAAAGTCCTAGTAGTCTCTAACAGATTGAAGAAGTATGATATTGACAGAAAGGTGAAGGTACTCCATTCTGGTGGGAGGTACAAGATGGACCTATTTCTGTATTGGAGCCGAGCTCACGGTATTTCGAGACACTTCGTTGGAAAGGAAATCTTGGGGTAGCTAGATAGGGTGACAAATTTGGAGAACCGTGCCTTGCTGGAGGAGGATCGGTGTTTGTTGTCAAGCAATGGTCTGCAGAAGAGTTTCTGGACTGAGGCTTCGACATATTTGGGTCATCCTATTAAAGAGTTGTCAACTGCTGTGATTGGAGGTAAAACTCCATTGGAAGATAGGTCTGGTAGTGTCACTTTGGTTGAGGCTTCGATGAGGAAGCCAATTGACTCTCAGCAGGTGGAGAGTTTTGGACAGACCTTAGAGGTATCACAACGGGTAGAGAGTGATGCTACTCCACATTGGGTGAAGAATACTCCAGATCATATTGCATCGTTTGGGATTCCAGCTGAGGTGACACAGTTTGGAGATCAATTTGTTGTGGATGCAGATGATGAGTTGAGTTTTGATTCGAGTGCAGCTGATAGACGTAGTTTGGATATGGTCATTGGTTCGCCTCAGGTGGAGGTGTTTGAGGCCATTGGAGGTGCTATCAGCCGCAGAGTTGATGATATTGGAGAAGGGTTGCGAACTCTTCTAGTGGATTGAGGTGAACTACGTTAGGCTTGATTCCTTGGGGAAGAGGATACGTAGGCAGTCTTTATGATGCAGTCGGGTTGGGTTATTTGATGGGGGTGAGATCGATTTGGTGAGTTGATACTGACATTTGGAGAGTGTTTGCATTCTCATTTGGGTTCTCGACTTGTTATGGATTGAGTCTGTTATCGTGAATTGTTTCATGGTGTACTGGACACAACAAGTGAGACATTTTGTTTGGTCGGTGTCGGAGAATTGTAAACGAGTGGGACGTGGGGACCACGAAGTGAAACCCACAGACGCAGACCCACGTGATTAGCGGTTTTTGTAAACGAGTGGGACGTGGGGACCACGAAGTGAAACCCACAGACGCAGACCCACGTGATTAGCGGTTTCTCTCTAGTTGCGGAACAACAAGGCCCACCCGAGTGATTTATATAAACCCTTGTCTAGGGTTTCGTGAGCGAGCAGGAGGTTGATTGTTGCTTTTTCTTTGTGCGGCTGCGGAACAGTGCTTGGAGGCGTGTGCAAACCGAAGGGAAAAATCTGTTCTCTTTTGGCGGCTGGGTGCAGAGAAGAAAAGGCAGGCTGTAGCAAGGGTTTGTGTATCCCCTTTGAGAGAGATTTTGTGAGAGATTAGAGAGTTAGTTTGAGGGTTTATTTTGTGAGATTGTAAACCAGTTAGTTTGAGGGTTTATTTTGTGAGATTGTAAACCTATTGTATTTTCTCTCTAATAGTAGATCTCCTGCTCCTTGTCCCGTGGACGTAGACAGTTTGCCGAACCACGTAAAATTGGTTGTTTGAGTTTGTGGCCATTGTAATAGTTTTTAGGATCCCTCGACGCGCAGTCCTAGAGTTGACGAGAGGAAGAGCAAATATCCCACTTTGATGTGTTATTAGGCTTTCAGATTCTTGTTCCCTTTGAGAAACAAGAATTCTTATCGATCTTTCTCTCTTATTGTGCATCAGAAACTCTGCCGAAATTTCCGCTGCGCACAACAGAGAGAGGATCCAAATCCCACATTAATTACAATACTGATTGCACAAACAACAGCATTTTGCTAAACAATCCGTTTTATACGGAAATCAAAGATTCTATTTAGTATTAGAACATAAACTTTCGTTCTTCTAAGAGGTTCTCATCCATCCATTACTAGAGCTGTACACACAAAATGCATTCTTCTAAGGACATATCTAGCTTACTAAACTACAAGAGTTCCAATACTATTATGCTTAAAGAGATAAGAATTACAGGTCTGTAAAAGCTCACAAGCGCACAATGTAGTTTTTAAGAGAAAACTTACATTTTCGTATCTTGTGGTACATAAATATGCTTGATGTAGGCTAAACACACAGGTATAAAAGTATGGTAAATTATAAAAAGGTAAGCTATCTGTACAGATAAAAGATATTATAATGGCTAGGTTCATATGAAAATTGAAAACACCGAAAAACCTACTGCTTTGAGATATATGTGGATTCGTACACTGCGCCCTTACGATGGCCACTAACAGTGGGGTACAAAAATGAAGGGTGGTAGATGGGAAGATTGTAGCATAGTTGCCTTGGCTTTACTCCCAAGCGTGGAAGGGAGAAGAAACATTAATTTAGGGGCTGTTTGATTGTTTTCCCAAAAAAATCAAAAATGAAAAACTCATATTTTAACTCATTTCAAAAGATTTCAAGACATTTCCCGTATTTTTTTTGTTTCGCAATGAAATCACTGTCACGTCACCGCCACATCACATACTATGATATTGTAAATACAGTGTTTCAATTTTCGTTTCTTGTGTTTGTTTGAATATAAAAAAGGTAATAAAAATAAACCACAACAGTAACAATATTTTTAGCAATTAAATAATCTGTTTTATTCACAATCACTGTTTCAACAGTATTTTTATAATTAAAAATTCATTGAAGTGATATTTTCAAGTGTTTTCAGAGGTTTTTAATGTGAAAACAATTTTCTTAAAAATTGGACATGACATCTTACGTGACACCCTTATTTCTTTAAATCACAAAACGAAACAAACATGTGACTTAAAAATCAATTAAGACCAAAATTCTACGTAACAGAAAGGAATTTCTTAAAATTTGACGTGACAAGGGGTTTTCTTATTATTATTTTTTTTTTAGCAAACAAACCGCCCCTTAGTCTACAGAAGAATGACTCACAAAATACCCTGAGAAAGCACTCACAAAAAACCCTGAGAAAGCAATAGAAGGGACCCACTTCCCACTAGGAAGTCACATTTGTCTATTCTTGTAGCTTGATGTGGACTCAGCGCATTTTTGTCGTTGGCTGATAATCAAGTACGGATCCACAATCTAGCTTTACATACAGAGAAGCGAAAAATATAATGGAGAGCTTATTCTCCTTTTGACATTGCTTCCGGTCTCAGAAACATTATAGTCTCCGGAGATATGGTGGATCTTATTCCTTGTTCTCGCTCTCTTAATATCATTCCTCAAAAAAGTGAAGGAACAAAGAACACAGGTACAGGATAATCAATAACAAATAATCCCAAGTAAACCTCGTAGTAACTCCATCTACATTATTTTTTTCAGAGAGAAATTATTGAAGAAAATATCTCAAAATATAAGCGATTGATCACCCCAACTACTGTTGAAAACAGATGGATCATGCGCGTGGATACTCTTAAGAACCTACAACTGATGCAGGGAGAAATAAAACAGAAACCGCACGAGGAAACCTTACAAGTTCACAAAAGACTGCATAGCAATGTTCAGCAAAAGCAAGAAATTTTGTTACAGTTTCAGCTTCTTAAACAAGGGACGCCCTCATTCAGAGTATGTACAATACCAGCCACCTTACCCACTTCATTACGCGAGACATAGTTACCTGCAGAACGGTAAAATCCCTTTGCAAAGTATTTGAGGATATTACCGTAGTAACTCTCGTATCCTTTTATGCTGCTTCAGCAAATCCAATCCTCATGTTGCCGTAATCAAACACAGTGTGGTAAACTCCCATGAAAACATCACCCAGAATCCTACAGCCACACATTTTTATTCAAATTATGGTTAAAATAATAATAATGACGAAGCTCAGGGTGAGTCATAACATGGCAACGGGGCGATTTACCAGAGAGGACCGCGAGGAGGTGGCATGTCCATAGCTGTGAATCCACTGATGCACTGAGTTGCAGGCCCTTCACCAACCTTCAAAACATACTGCAAGCCGGGGGAAAAAGAAGAAGACCAACAATAAAAATCCCACCAAATTCAATACAGTTAGATTACTTAAAAATATGATGCACTGTCTAGTACCTGCTCTGGCGTGAGGTCAAATGTCTTGCCACCAATAGTGAAAGTAATACTAGGCATTGAGGATAAGACACTACAGTCAACAGCTGATTCTCCCATGGGGCTCGGTAATCGTTCACATAGCTGCAATGAAACAAAGTCTTAAAACACGATTAAAGAAGCAATAATGTTTTGATATACAGTGAAATAGAAAGAAAAAAAATCACATCATTTATGTAGTTTAATATCGCTTCTTGAGTCTGGTTCTGCTTGAGCTGATTTTGCATCCAAACAACTGCCATCTCACAAGCATTGCACATAACATCACTTCCAACAGATGATTTTCCGTTGCTCACAACGCTTTCAATGCCAATACTAGAGACAGAGAGAAGAGGCTCAATCAGAAACCATATGGCAAGGAATTGCTTAAAAACATGAAAGCTTAAAAATTAATTAAATTGCTATAAAAGTTTGGATTGAGCCTAACCTAACTCCCCGAGTTCCATCAAAGGCACAAAGACCAATCTGAGAGCATATTTTCTTTGGTTGCGTCTGCAACGAAAAAGCATAATGGTTATAATTAGTTTTGAGCATGTCATCAAATATGCAAACAAGGGGGAAAATTTTGCAAACCTCGGACAAAAGCAAATCCAAAATCTGTTGCCCGTACTGTGAAACCACGGTTTTACACTCTTGGCTGACAACACCTGCAGCTCCAATCTTTTGATTAATTTCCGTGATGATGGTCTGCAAGAAAGATTTAGATTAAAATCAGAAGTCAACCTACACAGAATGTCTGAAAAGTGTCATTGAAATTATAACCAGTGAAATAGTGAATTTAATATCCAACTCAGTAAATCAAAATTGACAACTCATCACAAACCTATTTCAAATTTCATCTTACCCAAGAATCCTTAAAAGCTAACAGACGAACTGAAACATTTGAACATGGAAAAGATATCTAGGAGATTCATCAGGTCCATTCGACAAATCAGGATCATTCTTAATGTTACCAGTAACTAAAGATAGGCAAATGCTTGCACTCCTCCACCCTCTTCAGCTGCCAAAGATTGTTGCAACATTTACAACTGTGCCTCTTATCTGCCAACTGGTTCTACCACAATAACATTCAGCACCAGTCATATAACAAGAACAAACACCTTTATCCAAGTTTTTGGGGTTGGTTACCAATCCTATTCTTCCATAATCCATTCAGTTATTCTTCCATTTGGTTCTGTTAAGGGCTATTTTCTGCATCAAATTAACCAGCATATATCTTCTCGGTTGCTTCCAAACATCTTCTTAAGTCTATCTCTATTCCTCGCTCCATTAGCTATAATCTTATCTTCCCTTAACTGGAGCACTCAGTGACCTTAGATTGCACATAAAAATAATCTCAACTGATACTCTAGCATTTTAAACTCAATCAAATCAACATCTAACTTCCTGTAAGTGCCCTCATTTCTTAACATTTTCTTTTAGCATATCCACACGTCCATTGCAACATTCAAATTTCTACAACAATTATTTTTTGCAATATATTGTTTCGTAGTTGCCAAACATTCTGAACAACAAAGCATAGCTGTCCTGTAAAAATTGTTCTTCAATTTCATAGGTATCCTATGATTACAGAGGATACCAGAAGCATCCATCCACTTTTAACAATCCTTACTTGATCATATCATTCTTAATCTCACCACCTTGGTGAACGAATGATTCTAAATAGCAAAAGTAATTACATCAGCTTTACAAATCAGAGAAGGATGGATTACTAAATCAATATCCTAGTTGCATGCATGCACGCACGCATAACGAAACCCCCAATCCCCCTCCCCCCCAGCAGGAAAAAAGCAGCAGCGAAAAAAACACTGTTTCTGCCCATGTGTATTTATAATTATCTACTCAGGCTTGGGCCACTGATAGTCATCTACTTGGACCGGTAAAACCGGCAAAAGGTGTGGGCTCTTCCTTCAGGCCAAGGAACCTAGAAGCAATGTTTTAAAGGTGATGTGCCTTAGCGCCTCTGGCGCTTACGCAAGGCAATCTTCTAACTTAGCGTATTGCGCATTGCCAGGCGATGAAGGTTACCAAGGCCACCACTTTTTGACACCACAAGAGCTCGCCTTAGCGCCTCATGACCTTGCCTTGGCGCCTTAGGCGTGGCGCTAATCTAAGGCATATGATGCAAGATGCATGGTGTTTGTCTCTGGTTCATAATTTTGAGGGTGTAAAAGATGTCCGATAAAGTAAAGTTTATTTTTATTATTTAATTTTTGTATTTCTTTTTTTGTTGGTCAAGTTTTTTTACCTTTTTGTTGTGATGTACTTTGTTACCTGTATCATTTTGAGGACATGCCAAAATTTGAACCTTAAAGTTCAAAGTTTGCCGCTTAATAATCTGTGTTATCAGCACTAGTTAATATTACTATTTAGTAATTGTTAAATTACTTATCATTTCATTTAGATGGCTTAAAAATTATTAGATTTGCAACTTTCAAAACTTGGTACTGATTAATTTGTCTTGCTGCTATTTATTGATATTTGCATATTATTTATATATATGTATAATTTTTTTTGAATATTTATCGCCTTGGTTCACTCACGCGATCACCCCTTTTTTGACGCCCTTTGCCTAAGGCAAGATAGGACCTCATTGCATTAACCTCGCCTTTTGCTTCTAAGACACTGCCTAGAAGTTAACATTGAAGGATCAAATTTGTAGAAGACATGCTAAGACATTACAAAATCCTGCAAAATCCAGACGCTACTTCTTAGAGTACAACTGTTGGGGCATCATAATCAAGATAATCAAATCATTCAAGAAACCGACCATCAAACTACTTACCTAAGTTCCCTGAGAAAGAGAGCACAAGCTCTCCTGTTACGTCTGATATATCATGCTTGAAGCAAAATAAAACTTGATGAAGGTATTATAATTCTGAAAGACTCTGGATGCATCCGTAAACTTACCACTTCACCAAGATTCAGAGAAATAAAGCATCAAAAATGCAGTTCAATAGCAACTTGTGTAAAACTACTTAGTGAACATAAATCATTGCTGAATGCTGAAGCCTCATGCACTACAAAAACTAGTCGCAATTAAACTAAAATGAAGTTCTCTCTCCGGAAAAGGAAAAACTATAAGCATAATGTTCTGTAACCTATATTGCACAGGGCATCTTTATATACATACATTATACATATATATGATGCGGATACGAGACACGGATACGACACGGATACAGGATGCGGCAAAATCCAAAAAAATAGGATACGATGATACGACAAGGAATTTTTTAAAAATTATTATTATATATAAAAAAATTTATAATAACACCACTTAACACGAGGGACTAATTGGTAAGAAAACTGAAGACTTAACGGACTAATAAACAAATAGTGAAAGTGTGAGGGCTTATTTGGCAATTAAAGATGAGTTAAGAGACCACTATGCAATTAACCCATCAGTAATCTATCCAACGGTTGAAATTAATCCAAATATTATCTAACGGTTGCGAGAGGTCATCTGCCTTGTATATAAACTGCTTCTAGGGGTTTAAGCGTTCCCTCATCAGCCGCAACTCTCAAGCTCCCAAAATCCTTAGCGTCTCGAGAGAAAGAGAATCAGAGAGACAAAGAGAAAGAGAGACGAAGAGATCGAGAGAGAGACAAGATCGATGGACGAGGACGACGAGATCTGAGAGAAGACGAGCGACAGATCTGAGAGAAGACGAGCGACGAGATCTGAGAGAAGACGAGCGACAGATCTGAGAGAAGACGAGTGACGAGATCTGAGAGAAGACGAGCGACGAGATCTGAGAGAAGACGAGGACGAGCGGCGGTGGGACTCGGGCAAGTGAAAATATTAGGGTTTTGTTTTGCGTTTGGGTTTCGGTTACGAGTTTTGTCTTTTAGAGCACGAGATCTGATCTCGGCGAGGACGAGCGACGGGTGGAGCCTATCCAAGGAGCACGAGAGCAGCGACGGGACAAGCGACGAGTGGAGCACGAGATCTGATCTCGGCGAGGGCGAGGACAACGAGGATGAGCACGAGATCTGAGAGAAGAGATCAATGGATGAAGAGGGCGAGCGGCAGGACTGAGGTAAGTGAACATTAGGGTTTTTAGCCTTTTGAGTTTGGGTTTCGGGTTACAGGTTGTCTGCATTCAGCGTTTTTTCTTTGTTCGGCGAATCCAAATCGTATCCCGCCCCTTGTTTGACCGTGTCCCCCTCAATTAACCCGTTGACCCGTGTCCGACACCTGTCTTTCACGTGTCGTGCACGAATCCGTGTCTGATTCATGTCAGACACAGATTCGTGGCCATCGGGGGAGTATCCGTGCTTCATAGCCTACACACACATGTATAGTATATGAATGCTTTCCATAAAATATCATAATAAAATATATGAAGTTACTGCAGAAAAAAATGAAAATCAATGAACACATTTGGTACAAAGGTCTACGAGATGGGGAACCATGAAGGATTAAACTAGACATGTGACATGTTTGGTGGTCGTGCCATTTTAAAAAACTCAACTGACGTATGGACCAATTCCCTATGGGGAAAACATCTAAGAGAATTTTTCTAAGGAAAGCAGGATAAAATAACAAATATATGAGGACTGTAAACAGTTGGTGAACTCAAGGTATGAAACAGTTTACAGGGAGACCTCTTTGATATTACATAGAAGCACCCACCAGTAACTTGCCCTCACCTTAACTTACAAGTTTAGATGAGATATTTCAGATAATAAGCAACCAAATCAACAATTAGAAGCATGTTATATTTTCAGATACTAAGTAGTTTGACCTGCTTCAATGTTTATCGAGATAGAAAGTAAGATCATAAACATGATATTTTGTAAAGTTATCCATAAATTCACATGCAAATGGTGCTTAGGAGAAGGTAACCGTGTTAAAGGTAAGCATAACGTTTTGGACTTTACTTGTACAGCTAATTATATGCTCATGTGCAAGTCGTGCTCAGGAAAAGGTAACAACTTAAAAAGCTAAGCAACAATTCAGAATCAACTGTGAATAGAAGAGCATGAAAGGAAGACGTAAAATTCAACTCTCAAGGTGACGCAAATGATCGTAGAGTAGCTAGATACCAAGAAGCAAAAAAGCTGAGTATCATCATCTGTATCTATCCTTCCAAGAAGGATGAGGGGAATAGGTATAGAAAGTACTCAAATACCCTTTTGAGTACACTTTAGCATTGTCTTATGGAAGAAGAACAATAGGTGAAAAGCCGATTTATTATGCAAATGTAGAGTACAAATACATACTGTTGGACCAGCAATCAAAGAAGTTCCAGAATCTGCAATTGCCGCACAACCTCCAGAACAGAATCCTGGAAATAATAAATGTTAAGGCAGGTCCAAATTCAGAAAATAAATATCCACAACAAGTCAATATAATATGGAGGGGATTCAACGGTTACCAGTCGATTGGCCCCTAACAAGAACATCTCCCATGTCAAACTGCATTGATGAAGCCCATAACAAAGTTACAAGTCAAGAAAACAATCTTGACATAGACAAGCTCTACATTAAAAGAATTGTCCACAGTGGTCAAAACAACAAAGAATTAGGGACCTACCTGCCAATAACCCTTCTGAGTAACAGGGACATAAGTGTGTTCACCTTTGTGATGAGCTGGGTCAACTCCTCCAAAAACAATTTCACCTCCCTCACCATCCACTGCTTTCCGGTTCAACCAGAAGGAGAAAACAGGATCTTTAACAAGACCTTGTTCAACAATATTATACCTGCAAGAAGGCTGAGTATGTAAATCCTCTATCAGTGTCATGATTCTCATGACCTATGAGTATACTGACTCTATGCATCCAGCAACCTCTAGTGGAGTGTAATTTTTATTTTATAAAATATATTAGAAGGAAGTATATCTTTGTAACTGTTGAAATAAAAGAAAGAGAGAAAATCTATATTTTTATTGACCATGAAAAAGTCGGCAATACCACCGTACTCACACTTTGTAGAATCTCCATGAATGGAAACATATAACACAGCGAAGTCCTAGATAGAAGGATACTACATTTAACTACTACATTGAAAGTAGACACCTTTATTAAAGGCAACAAATAATATGAGATCTTCCACTACGCTCTCCTCAAGCTGAAGGGTAGAGATTAGTGAAATCCAGCTTCTCTCGAAAAGAATCGAATAATTTTCTCCTCGTGGTATCTCACTCTTATCAATGTAAAAGTGAGACTGACACGAACTCAATCCCATTAACAGTCAACAGCTAAATAGTAGAGGTGAAAATAATGCCAAGAAAAAGAACTTCGCGAGTGACTTATGAAAATAAAAGATATTCGCGAACGACAGAAGATAAAAGAGGCTTCACAACCAACGACAATAAATAAAAAATTTTCCAGTGAGATGAAAAGACCATGTTATGCAATGGTACCAAGGTCGATGTTGTCCAAGAGTATGCTGAGATTTAGACTACTAGTCACACAGAGTTGCCAAAGACAAGGTGTTGGAGCCCAGCGACATGGCGACAAGTGAGAAAGGACGATCAAGAAGGATGGGTCATCAATATTCACAAGTAAATTATCACCACAAGAAAAAATCGAGAAATTACTAGCTTGCTCGAGAACAGAAGTCAAGCCATAGTAAAGACACTTTTTGGGCGATTGTTGAAGAACCACGCAACCAATAAAAATTGCAGCATCAGAAAAAGCAAGAATAAAGGAGGCCAAGGCGAAGCAGTTGTTCGATCTAGGTTCCAAAGAACCTAGGCAAGACAAACAAAGAAATCAAATTGCTACAAAATCCAACTTAATTTGCCAAACCAAGTGTCTAAGAGATGTGGTGTGTTGAAAGGCAATTGCAAGTGGTTCTTTGTAGGTGATCTAGGGCTGGACCTATGATTTTGAATTATCCATCGCTACATTGTTCCCAAGGACTAGCAAAATCGAAATAGCAAAATTCTTGGGTCATCCCAATGGGTTCAGAAACTACATGTTTCTCTGGATCATCATAGCATACTTCCACATATCCACTCAGAGGAAAGTCTTTTCATAATGGATGACCCTCGAAACCATGATCTGTTGCTATACGGCGTAAATCCGGATGATTTATGGAAGAAACACCAGACATGTCGAATTGCGACTGCATATCCGCGATGTCGAAATGAATCGAATTTGAATTGAATATCCCACTTGCTATGAATAAGATGAAAACTGAATCTCTGGTGACATTGAAGCCGCCGAGTAGGGATGGAATGAACCAAATTCGAATCTAATACCCCACTATTCGTATTTATTTTCTGTTCATAGTTGACTATTCAAATTCGTATATAAATTCAAAACGAATAGGAAACTTGCACTCGAATTCGATTCAAATAGTATTCGAATATTAGAAAACTATTGTCAAATTGCTAGTGTTTACTTACTCTTTAAGAATTCAGTTCATATTCTGTAGATAATGATAAATATTTATTATCCTATCCTGGTCTTGCACAATGTTTAAGAAGCCTCTGCTTAGCCCGCTTGAGCGTACGCCTAGGCCTAGGCGGAACCTAGACCGCTCGCCTAGCACCTAGGCGATACCTAGACTACCCACCTAAGTTTTGGAAGCGCCTAGGGGTGCATGGTCTAAATACGTAGACTACGCCTTTTGGGACTTGATCGTGATTTTCTCCGTTGCAGCCTCAACATCCTCCAAACTCATCCATCCGCCAACTATGAACACCTCCTCTACCTCCTTCGACCTTTAGCAAAACATCCTCCACCACCACCACCTAAATGAAGAAAGAAATCTACCTAGGTGCTAGTCCAGCGCCCAAGTTTTCTATAACCATGGCATTTACTATCAATTGTTGTAATTAAAGAATAAAAAAGGGAAAACCGCCACTGAATATGCAACCTACTAAAAAACATAATATTCAAATATCAAAAACTATTTATATCAAGCTATGCATAATAAATTTTTAGGATGTCTACAGAACATGATAAATAAAATTTATAGGATTAAAGTATAAGGAAATATAAACAAATAGTTTATTAAACAAACGAATCAAATATACCTACAGTTAAATTCTATTCCTTTATGAAGTGAATACTAAAAAATATATGTTTAATATTAAATGAGCTATCGAATCGAATATAACCGAATACTTAAAAGATTAAATACCAAATTATTTGTTAAATATTTGGTGTGTTTCCGCCCCTAAATATGAGGTTTGACAAAACTCTATGACCAACTATCAACCTGGACAATACACCATTAGATTGGAGCGGTAGCGTAGTTTGGAGTTGGAATGAACACAAATATATTGGGATGTGTAGAACGCCTAGAGAATGTAATAAACAAAATTTATTGGATTAAAGCGTAAAATATAAATGGATAGTTTATTAAACAAACAAATCGAATATACCTATGGTCAAGTTCTATTCATTTATGACCGAATAATACTAAAAATATTCGATTATTGTTAAATGAGCTGTCGAATCAAATATAACCGAATATTTAAGAGAATAAACACCGAGCTATTTATTAAATGTTTGGTGCATTTCCACCACTAAATACAAGGTTTAACAAAACGCTATGACTAACCAACTAGCAACCTAGACAAAACCCCATTAGATTGGAGCAGTGGCGTAGCCTAGAGTTAGAGCTTGGGAGGCCAACCCCGGTTCTCCTATAAAAAAGTACTAAAAATTATTGCAATAATAGTCACATTAGATAATTGAAGATATATTTAGAGACAGAAACAGGGTCTCTAATTCTAAATTCCAACCAAATACTATTTATCAAATGATTGTTTACAAAAGGAAAAAGGTAACAATAACAAATTAGATGCAATCAGATTTGTATAGTATATTTGTGTAATTGACAATACAATCTTAGGCAAACTGAAAATAAAGCAAAAATATTTTAAAAATTCAACCATGACATATTTAGACATCCTCTTAAAGATCATATCTAAAAAGAACTAGGTTTTCAAGAATAACTTAGAAATTACTGTTTTTCGTTCTATCAACTATAGAATGTACAATTAGCTACTGCTAGCATCAAGAGAAACACTTTATGTTCAGCGGATCTGTGACTCTTTCATCTGGCGCTGCAGCCTTCTAGATAGATTTTTAATTTATACCTATCACTTGTTTCTCATACACTTCTCTCGTTATATTAATTCCCTTCACTATCAATAAGTCTTAAGCCCCAAACTTCCATTAAAAAAAGTTGTAACCTCAAACATAAGTATAAATATTATATGAGATCATGAAGGAGATTTGAAGAATTGTATGTTAAGTTTTCTTTTGTAGCCAAGGAGGAGCTACTAAACTATAAAAGAGTGTATATATACTGCAATTGAGCCAAGCGAGGGGGCCTGTGACCCCCTTGCCCCTCAGTAGATTGGAAAAAATTCCCCAGCCAATCAACCTATCAGCAAGATGCTTTCCATAAAGCCTTTTGTGCTAGTGGAAAGTTACAATGCTTACACTACGAGTAAAGTGCATATATGCTTCTTCAGAAGCTTGCTAAGAGAATTACATTTTCTCCAAGACGTGATATGAAGCAACTATGAAACTGCATGTAGTAGATCAAATGGACCGGATGTGCAGATTTTTTATTCTCAATTGCATTAACTCAGGAAAACTCATATATCCAAAGAGTAATCAAATGGACCCTCATCAAATGAGACCTCACCAAAAGACATTGCATTGAGCACTAAAAGATCTCTCGATTACAAACCATGTACTTATAAGTGAAAATTTCAGTAGTAGATCATGCCTGTCTTTTTAGAAGAAAATATACAGACCACAGACACTACTCACGCTTATACAGAAATATTATAGATTTTGTTATTTCATAAAGAGATGCTCTAAGTTGAGGTGTCCCATCTCTCCATAGGGTATCCCAAAAGTTTTTAGGTCCGCGAATATGGTTATGGGTGCAATTTTCTAATTGCTATATGGAATTAATAATTAATTCTGAAAGTTTGCAATTGACTTTAGCTGTTAATTAATTTGAAACCAAATGAACTTTAGACCATGTTGGCTTCCCTAGGAACCAATGCTGTTGACCTTAATGTCGGATCAAGATGCCATCATGCCAATACTTTGGTGACCAATGCTGTTGACCAAATGAACTTTTGGCAACCAACACCAGACTTTGGAAGCTAAGATTCAATTACTTATTAACGCACATAAAGCTAGAGCATCATTCTGTATACACTGGTAAAATGAGAAAAGCTTACCACACAGGGACTGCATTACCAACTGAGATTTCTTTAAATCCTAACCCAAGTATGCCATCAAACTTTGCTGCCAAGAAAGTGACACCTGGCTCTCTCGTGGCTTCAATAAATTCCTAAATATCTCGCCATGAGTGTCATTCAACCACAAAACTCATGCCTGACTAGAACAAATAAGCTGTAAGCGGTCATAGTAATACAAACCTGGCCTTTGACAACAAGGTCACCTAGTTCAACATTGTCTTCACTGAAGAAACCAACTATTGATCCAGTCCCATAGTGAATTGCTGCAGATTTTCCTGTAGAGATGACAGAAATCTAAATCATATTGTGTCAGATTCAGAAATTACTGATCAAGTTTAGGAGGAAGTACCCCCATTTGGCAGGTGAGTATTAAAATGAGTACAATATATACAAAAAAAAATCAACGAAAAAGAAACATCTAATGAGCAGTATTTATGCCAACAAGTCCAATTAAAAGCACACAAGCCTGACAAAAGAAAGGAATTGCTACAGTAATACCTATGAATTAAAAATTGTTATATCAAACTATTTATCATGAAGCAAAAGAGACGTACATCCTAATTTCAAATTAATGCTCAAGTTATATGATCACAGAGATCCACAAGTTAAAACTCTATTCTTGAAAGTACAAAGATACGGTATCATTTAGCGCTAGATTTAAGCACCCAGATTGATTGAAACTTCAGCAATAACTCGGATAACACCAACAGAAATCAGCTTCTACAGTTGACTAAAGCATAGCAGAAGGCTACTAAAAGATACTCTGAAGTCTGAACAAGTTTGACGGCCTCCCCTGATCATCAAAAATCCGACAAGAGCACCACGTAAACATTGAAAAGAACATGAACAGATATCATATACATATTGTAAGGTGCAGAGATAGCTTAACAAATATAACAAGTACATATAAGCTAAGTGCCTCATAAATTTAATAAAGGACATTTCTATAAATAGCTTTCAAATGTTACAGTTATTCATATGGCTCACAAAGGGTATTACACTGTAAAATAAAGCAGGAAAACTCATTTATAATCAAGTAAAACAAGCGATTTTATAACTAAGAAGACATGCAATTAATGAAACACGCAATCAAAAAACCCTCAAGAAATCAAAAGGTCAAAGGAAAAGCATAGACCAACCATTCTTCTGGTATGTGCTTGACCGACTTGACCTGTACTTAGAATGAAACAGACAAGCAATCTGCAAAACAAATTAAAAAACAGTAAATCCAAAGATGCTCGCAGAATAAATATAACTACTGCCCAATTTCTCCAAACTCACCGAGAAGTAGCACTTGGCAGATGGAACCCACAAGTTAGAGCTGCCAGTATCAAATATCACCGTGAACTTCTGTGGGGGAGTCCCGATACCGATCTCCCCAAAGTACTGAGCGTTCATGTAGTTCTTGAGGGAGATGATATCGGAGGGGTCTGATCCATCACTGAGACCTCCTCGTCGGCCGTTTCTCCAGCTCTTTAAGAGCTCTCCTTCCTTAGAAGAGAGATGGCCTGCAAGCCTACTGTTCTCATCCAAAGGTTTCTTCTTCAGGCCAATTCTTATTAGTCCTTCAGCCGAAGCAGGAAGAACCAGAGGAAGGACAAGTACTGAGAGGGCAAGAAACGGAATAAAAGCCCTAAGTGCAGTTCCCATGTTGACCTGCCAATCCAAATCAAATTAATTTGAGGAAAATAAAAAATAGATTAATTACAAACCAATGAGTATGATAATTTTAAAGGAAATTACAGCAAAAAAATCTAATAATTTGAAAACAGACTTGGAGCAAACTTAGTAAGTAGATTAACTGACAGTTTTAGAAACAATAACCATAGTTATCAAATACATCGGATTTATAAGAGATCAGCTTCAACTTAGATTGATGCCAAAACAACCGGAAACCAACTATGAATTTAACATAAAACCTAAAAAATCTCAAAAGATTTGAATTTGATCACATGACCAGTATCTTTACAAAAAATCCGATCAAAAAAAAACCCCCCTAAACCGCGATGAATCGAATCGAACATGTAATCAGAGGAAAACAAAGGAAAACCTTCAAAAAAGAACCTCAAAATCCGTAAATCCATAGACTGAGGGGAAAACTCAAATAAACCCTCAAAAGCCCAGAATTAGCGGGAAATTCGACATCAGCTGCAAGAATATAAGAATTACACCTCAAAAAAAAAAATCCAAAAACTAACCTAAAAAATCAAAGGAAAAACCTAAAACCCCTAAAACTTTAGCAAAACCTTTGTAGTTATGGGAAAGTCCAAATAAAAACCACATAAGCCCTAAACTAAAAACAGCAACTGCATCGATATTAGAATCACGCGCCTAAATTAGCTTAAAAGATCAACCAAGAAGAATGAGAAACACAGATGAAACTTGAACATAATCTCCTCTCAAATTAATTAAAAATTGATCCACAACAGGAAAGCTTGAATAAAACCTTAAATTAGAAGGAAAAAAAACCTAAATTTGACTATGAATTCGACGGTAAGAGGAGAGGAGAGGAGAGGAGAGTGAAATTAAGCTTACCACCGATGAAGAATTTAAAGAGGGGTCGTCTACCGACGAGCTTTTCCCCGGTCGGTTTGTATATATAGCGGGGGGACAGCGGGAGATGGACTCGATAGGAACTTGTGGGAGCGAATCCGATGATATTTACCCTTTGGATGATCTCATCCGTTGGATCATCGGGCTTCACTACCCAACGTGATAGTGACGTGTTTCCTGTTTACCAAGAGTGTTTGTCTTTATTTTTAGAGGTTTTTGGATTTTTTTTTGGAAAAAATGTGTCCAGCCCCAAAAACAGAAACTTCATGTGCTGCAGCCCCTCTTAGTTTTCCCCATGTGATTCAGCCCCTTGAAGTATGACACTTTGTACTGCAGCCCCTTTTTAGCAATTATTATATGTCAGCTAAGCTAAAATCCCTAAAATAACTTTATCACATCTTTTCAATCCCTCAAACTCAGCTCTCTCATCTCCCTATGTTAGTTCTAACTAGTTGGGGGCAAGTTAGAACTAACAATATTCGAAGCGATATAACGAGAGGTAGAAAATGAGCCCAAGTGAAAGGAAGAGACCGTGTGATAGACAATATAAAGGGCTACACACCGGCGAAGACGGTGGTGAAAACGGAGACCGGAGGTGGCCGAAAAACACGCGCGAAGTCGGCACGGCGCTGCTATTTTCTGCTCGTTGCTGCCGTCGAGCGATGTTTCGAACGTTACCGAGAGAGATAGAGACCGAGTTAGAACGTGATACAAATTGGAGGTGATAGGCAACATGTAGGGCTAGTCACCAAAGAAGAAATCGGCGGAAACGGAGATTGGAGATGATCGGAAAGTGCGTGCAAAGTCGGCACAAAACTGCAGCGCCGTGCCGACTTCGCGCGCATTTTTTGACCACCTCCGGTCTCCGTTTTCACCACCGTCTTCGCCGGTGTGTAGCCCTTTATATTGTCTATCACACGGTATCTTCCTTTTACTTGGGCTCATTTTCTATCTCTCGTTATATCGCTTCGAATATTGTTAGTTCTAACTTGCCCAACTAGCTAGAACTAACATGTGACGGGCTAGAACTAACATGAGACGTGTTAGAACTAACATGAGAAAAGTTAGAACTAACATGGGTCAAGTTATAACTAACATGGGGCAAGTTAGAACTAACATGAGGCGGACTAGAACTAACATGGGGCGAATTAGAACTAACATGAGGCAAATTAGAACTAACATTGGGCAAATTAGAACTAACTTGAGAGCCAAAGAGCCTAGAACTAAGATGATTAGAGCTAGAACTAGTTAGAACTAACATGGGGCGTGCTAGAACTAACATGGGGCAAATTAGAACTAACTTGAGAGCCCAAGAGCCTAGAACTAACTTGAGAAAAAGCTCCTCCCATCTCCAGCGAAGCCCACCGAGACACCCCGACAACCTCCTCCCATCTCCGGCAAGCCCGGACAGCGGCGAAAAGCTACGAACATCGAAGAACAAACCCGAACGGCGAGAAATTACACTGTAGAAAACTGCAGTTTTGTGCCGACTTCGCACGTACTTTCCGATCACCTCAAATCTCTGTTTCCGCCGATATCTTCTTTGTTGACTAGCCCTACATGTTGCCTATCACCTCCAATTTGTATCACGCTCTAACTCAGTCTCTATCTCTCTCGGTAACGTCCGAAACATCGCTCGACGGTAGCAGCGAGCAGAAAATAGCAGCACCGTGCCGACTTCGCGCGCGTTTTTCGGCCACCTCTGGTCTCCGTTTTCACCACCGTCTTCGCCGGTGTGTAGCCCTTTATATTGTCTATCACACGGTATCTTCCTTTCACTTGGGCTCATTTTCTACCTCTCGTTATATCGCTTCGAATATTGTTAGTTCTAACTTGCCCAACGGGCTAGAACAAACATGAGACGGGCTAGAACTAACATGGGGGGGCTAGAACTAACATGTGATGTGTTAGAACTAACATGGGGAAAGTTAGAACTAACATGGGGAAAGTTAGAACTAACATGGGGTGGGCTAGAACTAACATGTGGCGAATTAGAACTAACATGAGGCAAATTAGAACTAACATGGGGCAAATTAGAACTAACTTAAGAGCCCAAGAACCTAGAACTAAGATGAATTAGAACTAGAACTAGTTAGAACTAGCATGGGGCGTGTTAGAACTAACATGGGGCGTGTTAGAACTAACATGGGGGCAAATTAGAACTAACTTGAGAGTCCAAGAGCCTAGAACTAACTTGAGAAAAAGCTCCTCCCACCTCCGGCGGAGCCCACCAAGACACCCCGACGACCCCGACAACCTCCTCCCACATCCGGCGAGCCCGGACAGCTGTGAAAAGCACCGAACAGTGAAGAACAAATCCGAACGGCGAGAAATTACACTGTAGAAAACTACAGTTTTGTGCCGACTTCGCACGCACTTTCCGATCACCTCCAATCTCCGTTTTCGTCAATTTCTTCTTTGTTGACTAGTCCTATATGTTGCCTATCACCTCTAATTTGTATCACTCTCTAACTCGGTCTCTATCTCTCTCGGTAACGTCCGAAACATCACTCGACGGCAGCAGCGAGCAGAAAATAGCAGCGCCGTGCCGACTTCGCGGGCGTTTTTTGGCCACCTCCGGTCTCCGTTTTTACCACTGTCTTCTCCCGTGTGTAGCCCTTTATATTGTCTATCACACGATATCTTCCTTTCACTTGGGCTCATTTTCTATCTCTCGTTATATCACTTCGAATATTGTTAGTTCTAACTTGCCCAACTAGCTAGAACTAACATAGGGAGATGAGAGAGCCGGGTTTGAGGGATTTAAGAGATGAGATAAGGTTATTTTGGGGATTTTAGCTTAGCTGGCATGTAATAATTGCTAAAAAGGGGCTGCAGTACAAAGTGTCATACTTCAAGAGGCTGAATCACATGGGGGAAACTAAGAGGGGTTGCAGCACATGAAGTTTCTGTTTTTAGGGCCTGGACATATTTTTCCCTTTTTTTATGGGCCAATTTACCATGTTGGCATATTTAGGGTCTGTTTGGTTATTTCCTAAAAACCAAGGAATGGAAATGAAAAAGTAGAAATCTCAAAAAGTATAATTTTATACATTTTCATCCCTAAAACTCATCCACAACATCCAATAAAATATTATTTTTATCCAATAACTCATCCACAACATCTAATAAAAAATATTTTCATCCAACAACTCATCCACCATATCTAATAAAATATTATTTTTACCCAACAACTCATCCATCATATCTAATAAAATATTATTTTTATCCACAACATCACTCAACTCATCTCATCTCATTCTTTCAAATCACTCACATCATCCAATAAGATGGTGACAACTCATCTCATCTCATTAACATTTTATTTCCACTCATTTCCTCCCAAAAAACTAGGAAAACAATTTCCTTAAGTGTGGGTCACATCATCCAATAATATAATGACAACTCATCTCATCTCATCTATTTTCTTATTTTTAAGAATGAACCAAACAAAAGAAAACAACCTATTACAAGAAATAGATTTCTTGTAATTCATTTCCTTATTTTTTCGCCAACCAAACAACATCAAAACATTTTTTCTTAAAAAATCACTCACATCATCCTATAATAAGGTAACAACTAACATCATCTCATCTCCATTTGTTTGATTTCCTTTTTTTTTCTCCAACCAAACATTCCCAAAACAATTTTTCTTAGAAATAGTTTTCCATTTCTTTGATTTCCCTCTGTTTTTTAGGCAAACAAACAGCCCCTTAGCTGTAATCGTAGGAATGAGAAAATAGGGATGCACAAATGTTTTGACAAATTAAAATAATTATAAAGAGATGCACCAAAAAATAAACAATATAAAAATTGAGCAACCACAATCATAAAACACAGAGGATTTTATAGCGGTTTGGATAAATCTAAATCCACTTTTCCTTCACGCTACATGAGAATTCCTAGAATACAAACCCTAATCCTGTAAGTGATATGGGACAATACCCTAGTCTACTCAAACTAGTCATCTACACTAATCCATCTCACATAGCTATAACCCTTGTTCCCAGCTAGTAACCATAACCCTCGACTCAATCCAGCTTGCATGTGCCGCACAGATCCAATCACATGATCATATAAAAAAAAGTTTGTAATGCAAAAATCATTATCAATTAAATGCGCAAAGGAAAGATCTTATAGCTCTTTATCAATCTGGTGATTTAAGCATAGCTATGAAAGAATGGAGTTAGAAATGAATCTTCGAGGGCAACTCTACTCGACAATTGTGGATCCAATGTTGAAGAATGCAATGAGGCACAACCGTGGTCGAAAATTAGGCCCCAAAAGTGTTTGAGCGGTGAGTTGGCTCTTGAAGAGGCTGAGGCAGTGGTGGCGAATGCTGCCGAGATGGCGGCTGGACTAGTAAGGCCGAGTGCTAGATAGGAGAATAAGAAGAGGCGAAGGCTAGGGAAAGTGAGTGATCGAGGTCCTCATGGAAGTATCAAGCTGGCTCGGGCTCGGTCAGAAGGAGGAGTGGAAGCAAGCGCTCCTGCCCTCATCAGGGAAGATCAGCCAACACCCTCCAGCTCCAAGCGCTCCCCTCTCTAAGCCAACCGAGATTATCGTACTTGATGAAGCATCCACTGCTAGGCTTGTAGGAAAAGGAATGCTCGAGCCTAGGAGGCGAGGTTCGAGCCTGAAGAGGAGACAACACAAGCTCCCTACTTGAGCCGCGTCCAGAGGCCAGGCAAGGCACCGGCCGAGGAAGGGCAACCCATATTCACCAGCCAAGAGTCGACTGGGGAAGCTCTAACTCTAGGGACCAACTTCCAGTGGTCGTTTCCCCATCGTATCAACGAGCTTGACCTGAATGTGTGGGGGCTGCTGAAGAATATGCCAATAGACTCGTCCATAGATAGCCCTCGAGATGATAGGGAGCCATCCTCGGACAACCAATACGTGGCCAAGTGGTCTCTTGACAAGAAAAGCTCGGTCTTGGAGGCCCTAATGGTCCATGCTCGGGCCTTGGAGCAATTTTATCTCCCCAGGGATGACAAATTCCTTGAGGGGATGCACATTGTTAGTCTTCACCAAGCCCTAATGGGTTATCTCTTGCAGGGGTCTCTGATTGAGCAAGAGTTGCTCTCTCAGCTCTAGCTCACATGAGACCTCCCGTTATGTTTCAA